GGGGGGGGGGGGGGGGGGGGGGGGGGGGGGGGGGGGGCGCAGGTCTCGAACGTGATCGACATCTTTCTCTGGACGGAATCGCAATCTCGCCCTGTCTTTCCGTGTCGTGGTACGGATGAAAAGGACGGTGCCTTTGTGTGCAGGAGTCGGGGTTCGGTGCGTCTTACGGTTGACGTAAATTCAGTGGTATTTCTCGCCTTTTGTATTTGTTCGTTTGGCAGTGTCCGCGTGAATCTGTCGTGTGTCAGCAGCTCTGTCGTGTAGCGAGCGCTCTGTAACGTTACCTACCGTCAGTGATTTTTATCAAAAGAGGTCATGGGCGCCTAGAGCCCGACTCATTGAGTTGTGTACCATATGTGAACGACTGACTCTGAGTAAAGTTTTTCGTGAGGAAGACGGTGGGGTGGTGGATATCTTCCTGGGTCGTCTTCGCAACAAGCAAAATATATCTGATAGTCGCGTAGAATGCTTGTTGTGTGCTCTTCCCAAAAATTCGTCTGCAGCCCTTAATTATTAGCTGCTACCGCCGTGTCCCCGACTTGTCAACCTGTAGATCGGAGTTTCATTTTTTCGTTCGGGCGTACTTTTTGTTTGGGTTACTCCTGTATATTTAGCTTAGTTTAGCTCATTGTGTGCTTGTCCTGTCCTATGGAAGGTTCGATCAGGTTGACAGCGCGGTAGGGACTATAATTACCGCCCGCCCCCCTCCCACCCCCCCAACATATTCGTTGCGTCCCCCCCCCCTGCGGGTCACAAGTCACGGAATGTAGTCAATTATGATAGTTACCCCCTAGATTTCATCATCTCTGGTACGCCCATCAAGACTAGGCCGTACTATGACCGGTAAGGGACCACGTGATTGCGCGTGATTCCAGTTGCCTCGGTACGCGGCCTTCGCAATGTTTCTTTGTGTCACTCGTCCTTGTAGGCTTGTGCGCGCACCACCTGCTTCGCCCGCGAGCCGCCCCCCGTTTCCTCTGGCTAGTTTTTCGTGCAGCGAAACTCTGCCCCCCCCCCCCCCC